AAAAAAAAAAAAAAAAGAAAAAAAGAAATATGAACCACGTTAAAACGGCGCTCGAACAGATCACTCTTCGACAGAAATGTGTGTGTCGCTGGTTTCTTATCACATGGAGCAGGTGGTGGTGCTCACCGATCCGTGAGGATTTTCTTGTTAAAATACAATCATCGAGCCAACCTTTATCGCTTGCTACCATTTCTTTAACGCGACCGCTTCCCGGCTCGAATCCATCGATCCTCTATCAATTTTCAACTGGACCTGTCGTTTACTTTCTTGCTTCGTATTCTATTGCGAAAAAATATTTTAAATTCACAGTTACAGCTCATTGTCATATCGATTGTATTTGCTCTATAACATCCAAAAACCATAACAAAAGAGATGCCCATCGTAACAACAGTAAAGAACTGGCAAGTTTATGTAGAAATGGCACCGAATTAATTTCTACACCATACTTGAAAATCATCGAAATCAATGAGATGCATCTTCTTGTAAATAATTATATTCTTTCGTTTCCCTCTCGAATTATTCGTGTTTCCTCGGTCGGAAGAAATTCAGTTTAGAAAATGTAGAATAAAGAATGATAATGGTAATATTAAATCAAGTATAGAATGGACTTCTCTAATGAGAAACACGCAGGACGATTCTCGTGTAATTGTTACGGCAAAAGGGATTGCTTCGTTCGACCACCAAAGGGCCTCGTTTACGATTGCAAATTGACAATCTACGTGGCAATCTGCATCTTCGTTAACAATTATTCCATGTGGAATTGATGTTAGGTTCCCCTTTCTCTTTTCCTTTTACTAGTTTCCTTGGAACCTTGTGCACGTCGGAGACACCGTGTCCTTTTTCATGAAACTTTTGTTTAAATCTGCTTGCCTATTCGAGTAATAACGAAAGATAATAACGATGAAAGTAAAAGAGTTAAGTAAAATATAAAAAAATTTTTTGAATCTGTATAAAAAAATATAACAAATATCTCTTTTAAATGATTCTTCGTTTGAATGTACAGGGTGTCTCAACTCTCCTGAAAAATGAAATTTTTCTATCAAAATCATTTGGTTTTTAGTACCTTAGAAATATATTTTTCTTTGTTGCATCTTTTAATAGAATGTACTTAATTCTTGCAAAACTTAGTATTTGTAAAATTTTGTAAAATTTCTTGTATGAAAAACAGAGACACTAGTATTCTATACCATTCTTGCATTTTATTCATAGATAAAACTAAAGTTAAAATATCTCCTGGACTAATTTAATAATTTTTTGACATATATAGATTTATATATATATATAAAATCATCAATCAATATGATCAAAAAATATATCATTCTATTTAACTTTTGCGTGCATGAATCTACGAAAAAACTACTTACACCAAACTTTGAAACTATCCGTTTCTTGTCCAAACTATTTTTTCATGCAGCAGATAATTTACATTTAATTCGCATTTATAAATTAAAACTGAACATCCTGTATAATGTGGTAGTTGTGTAAAAAATATGAAATCCATCTTTCTCCTCTGACATCATTTTCTTCTAATTTCCAATAAAAAAAAAAAAAAAACAATGTTTATCACGTCAGTCGTTCGTGTACTTTGAAATAATAAATGATACACGTGAAATAATTCTTTGCACAGGATGATAAGAAAAAAGCTGCAGCAGCTGGTTTTCAGCGTAATTAAATTCTTTAATTGTTCTCAGTCGGGTTCGAAATACACTAGTCGATTTTTTTTATTGTTAATAATTATTGTATATACTGTGGTACTTCTCCGATATAAATAATACGACGTCAATAAAATAATGACAATATGTTTGCTCTTCGTACCCCGTCTTAACAAATTATATATATTTATATATTTATATATTTATATATATATTATATACCTACTTCATTTAGTACTTGCTTGTCGTCGATAAATTGCATAAAACACGTACGAGTTAAATAAAAACGGCGATGACGGTGATAATGATCGTGACGATGATGATCTCCATCGCTGTTTCTCTCAAGGGAGACGACTGAGGAGAAGCCTTCGAAACTGAAAACGATTTCATCCATCGTGAAATCGAAGAGAAGAAAAAGGAAAAGAAATTATCTAAAAAAAAAAAAAAAAAAAAATAATCCAATTGATATCATAGAACTCTTTTAATCTTATTTCAAAGAATTTGTTTCTAAAAAGGAAGTTCGTTTGGACGAACAACAGATGAAACAAAAAGTTAGAAAAGATCTTGGGGAGAGGGGGAAGTAATTTTTGAAGGAATTAAAAAAAAGACAAATTTTTCTCGAAGAAGCGACAACTTCCAAGGACTCTCCCCGTCCCCTCTCTCACGTCAGGCTATAACATTTTACAATTAATACTAAATGTGTGGAAACTCCTCTAATACATCTAAAATGCACATCCATGCTTATTTAATGCTCCTTTAATTTAAATACGTATGCAGCACTGTAGCCTATCATTTTTGTTTTTTTTTTTCCTATTCGTTATGCACGTGTTTGTGACACTCTTTCTCTCTTCTTCTCTCTTATGCACACACACACACACACGCATTCTCTTTTTACTTTCTTTCTGTTCCTCTCTCACTCGCTCTATATGTGTACGTATGCGTGTATATGTATACGTAACGTGTACGCACGTGTGCATGCATGTGTATACAATGAAATACGTGAAATTCTTCCTGACGTTCCCCCCCC